CGAAACCCAACATTGACAGCCGCGACTCGCACGCCTCTGGTGGCGCTTCTACGTTCTTCCAGAGTGGCATCGGGGCTGACCAAATGGGGACAAACGGCCAGAACCCTATCGAGAATTTCTGTTGTCGTTGATGACCTCCCTTCAGGGTCTCTGCGAAAAGGTGCCGGTCAGTGGACATGCGTTGCTATGTCTTTGAAGGATGCTGCTACTCACTCGTCATCTTTGAGCCTCGTGCCGCCCACTATGAATTTGCCTTCTCCCCTTGGAATCACATAGGTATCTCTGAATCCCTGAGACCTGACCACCGAAATGCCTTGCCATCTATACCTGCGCCTGCTAGCGTGAGCGTCCATGCGATGCTCCAGCCAGGGAGCTTCGACGAGTAGCGTCTGGCCCCGAAGTACGTATGTGGGGTCTTGGAGACCTTCGATGCTGCGAGCTCCCAGTCCGGGAGAGACGACCAGCGCGTTGGCTCGAGGGCCAGCATTTGAGGAAGCCGCTGAGAGGGCATCTTGCAGAGATTTGACCTGAGATTGTATGATACGACCACCAAGAGCTTGAAAGCGCTCGAACAGCCAGGGAAGATAGTGCGCTACGTGTATGCTGAGCGTTGTCATGCTGCAGCCCGAGACGACACCTGCAGGCAAGTCAGACCTGTGCAAAGGCTGGTACTGCCGAATCGAGCCCAGCCGATGTAGTGAGCATACAGACTGCGCTATCCACGGTGCTTGACACTCACGTCGGGGTACCAATCGAGCACTTTGCTCTCCTCTCCATCCTCCCTCGCATCCTGCTGAGCGTCCCAGTACTCGATCTGGTCAGTGTAGAACAAGCCGAGGGGCGGGGCGCTCCCTTCGTGGACCAAATCGTCGATGCTCTTCCGGACTCCGCAAGTATTGCTGATGAGGGCCTGCATCACTTCAAAAGTCTTTCGATCCCGCCATCTCGAGTTTGCAGTCTTTGCATCCGATACGTGGTGTGCTCCCGCCCAAGCACTCGCATAGCTGGCCGGCTGCTTCGTCCCTGCCGAGCTGGGCACGTCTCTGGCTACGACTGTCACTGCCAGAGGCGCAGAGGATTGAGAGGGCGCATCCAGCAACGAGATGCCAATGGACAGACCTATGACTCCTGCGCCTAGGATGACCACGTGTTTGCCGCCTTCTTGTCCGGCTGCGCTGGGCGGTGGGACCGACATGCTGACGGGATCACGCAAGGCGAGAGGTGGGAAGCGACCGCGAAGAATAGTCCTTGAGTGCAGATGGAGGATGATGTGGATGAGCGTGAAGAGAGTAAGCGCGTGCAGGTCCTCCTGAGCCAGCGGCAAATTCCGTAGGAGCGAGTGATGCTCCGTTGGATGTTCGAGTCACAGGTCAGAGTGCTTGTTGTGATGAGTGCACGGGCAAGTGGGAATCGGCCCACCGCGAGCTGCTGCTTGGCGTATAGCTGACGATCGAGTCAAATCATGCTGCCGCCACCGCCGAGCTTGCAGCGCTCGCATGCGCAAGCACAGCCTTGCGCCCGAACTTGCGCACAATTAGACACAACAAACAGCATCAGCAGCAGAAGAGGTTCAGAGCCCAGCAGTTGAGTCATGAGTCAGAGTCTTGCCCAAGTTCTGCCTTTGCTTTTGAGGGATATGAATGCATGCGGTACGGTATTCATATTCATTCGTGATTCACATTCGTGATTCACTGCTTGACGACTCGCAAAGCACGACTTGCGACTTTTCAACATTTGATTCGCATTGTGACTTGATTCGCAATACACAATCCACTCACGACTGCTGTGACGCTCGGCATTCGATTCACGATTGATGAGAATCACGAATCAGAATGTGAATTGCTCGATCGCCATCTCAGTCATGACCATGCACGCCATCCATTCGTCCACCTCATCCGTCCCACCACGAAGCGCGCCGCGGCCTTCCGGAAGTTGCCGTCGTTGCCGTCGTTGTGCCGTCGTTGTGCCGTCGTTGTGCCGTCGTTGCGCCGTCGTTGTGCCGTCGTTGCGTGAACCGGATCCGCAA